GACAGACAGACAGACAGACAGACAGACAGACAGACAGACAGACAGACAGACAGACGGAGACAGAGAGAAGTTGGGAGGAAATTGTGCCACACAGGTTTGAGAGGCGAATTAGTTGGGATTGTTTTGTTTTGTTTTGTTTTGTTTTGTTTCACGTAAAGTGATAATATCATAACTTAAGTGTTTTGTCTAGCCTTCAGTCGGTTGATCTTGTCAGGCGTTCGCTATCTTACACCTCCGCTATCTCTTACTACCGGCGTCTGCTGTGCAGTGGTTAGGTGCTTCTCTGCCGCGCGCAGGAGACCCGAGTTCAATTCTCGAAAGGGAAGAATTTTTTGTCGAGTATCTCTTTCCTTCTGCTGGTACGCTGTATTCTTTTCAGCCCCAGTTGGTTCTGATTAGCAAGATCAGAAACCCACCTCCTAAACAATCTAAATTGTGTCGATGGGGTTGTAAAAACATCTAGATCTACATATGAATTTGTTTTTGTTTTTGTAAACGAACTGTATGTCTAGGGGTACAGGGGTTTAACCGGTAAGAGGGCAGTTGGACCTCAAACAGAAAACCAATGGTCGGAACTGTCGGAACTATCCAGCCTTTGTTTTTGTACAACCGAGCCTGTGAAGGTCAACAAGGTACAAAACCGAACAGATTTCAGCCAATACCCTACCCTGACTGTCTGTTGCTAATATGCACGTTTTGATTTTCACATGATATTATGTTTTGCACTGTGTGCTGGTTTTTGGTTTCTATAATTTATTTGTTTTGGAGGGAAAGGGGAGGGGGGGGGGGGGGGAAGAGGTACAGTGTCCGCCTCTCATTCAATAAATCCCTGTTTCGAAACTTGCCAGGGATGGAAAATTGTTTGGTTGGTTGGTTGGTGGGTTGGTTGGGGGGGAGGGAGCTTTTGTTTTTGGTTGTTTGGTTGTTTAGTTGTTTGGTTGTTTGGTGTTTGGATTTTGTTCACTACTGTTGACCTCCACATAAACTGCAAATGGTCTGCAAACCTCGAAGGTGGGCATAAAAGTTCATATATCGAAAATATTTCATGTTTTAGGCGCCTATTTACCTCACCAACCGCCCACAAATAAGTCATGTTATACCATACAATATTTGAACAAATAAATCACTTTATACCAGGCAATATGAACGAATAAGTCACGTTAACCATCCGTACAATGTTTGAAAAAAATTAAATCATTCGTGTTATACCATACAATGTTCGAACGAATAAATCATTTTATGCCGTACAATGTTCGAACAAATAAATCATGGTATACCATACAATGTTTGAATAAATAAGTCATTTTATACCATACAATGTTTGAATAAATAAGTCATTTTATACAATACAATGTTTGATCAAATAAATCATGGTATACTATACAATGTTTGAACAAATAAATCATGATATTCCATACAATGTTTGAATAAATAAGTCACTTTATACCACACAATGTTTGAACAAACAAGTCATGATGTGCCATACAATGTTTTTTAAGCTCAACCAGTGGCAACTACTAACTTCCTGAATCTGTTTCTCCCCTGGTTCTATTTTTTTACCCTCTCCGCTACCTGCACCCCCGCCCACATCCACCTCCCCCTTCCCTTCTCCACATCTCTCACGATACTCCACCCATACACCCTACAC